TGAGAACTCACAAATGTCACATTGCAATTGAACTTGACCCAAAGACTGAAACAATTTAGGAACTAAAGAGCGCAAAATAAAATATGATACATGACCAAGTCGGGTGTGCCAAAAATACACCCTTTTTTAATTAACAATTGAAGATGTGGCTACTGTAATCAAGGCATGTTCATGAGTCTCTAAAAAGTACAACCCTCCATTTTCATGACCATGCCCAAATGTTTTCCTCGTCACCAAGTCTTAGAATACATAGTGCGAAGGGAAAACAATTAGACTGTAGTTTATGATCTTTGTGAGATTACTAATTGACAGGAGGTCACTAGAAAGATTGGGAACATGCAAGGTGGATGACAAGTTAACAGAAGGAGTAACATGTTCCTTTCCCTTGATTGGAATAAGAGAACCATCTGCAAATTTAACTGATTCGTGACTAGAACAAGGGATATAAGAGGAGAAAAAAATCAGACATACGTATGTTCAGTTGCTTCAGAATCAATAATCCAAGTGATTTCAGAGCTATTTGCGGAGATATAATGTGTTGATGCAAATATACCTGATTGTGCAATGTGAGACTTAGTGGAGAAAGAATGGACTCGAATGGAAGCATGCTACTTGAGATCCAGGAGCTGTCTTTTAGGAATAGTCACCCACTCTTATTGAGGTTTAAATGAGAATTGGGGCAGTACTTTCACTGATCTTATTGTTGTTGAATTTGCCCTTGAAAAGTTTCACCTTGGGCGTCCAACTTGATCCCAACGTGTTTCCCTTTTGTGTCGAGTTATCCCACAGTGGGTGCACTTTAATTTGTCCTTCTCATCACATGTGGGGTTTCTATGACCACGTCCACCACCTCGGCTTTCGCCACAGCTCCCAAAACGTCCTCCAGCTCAATTACCATTAAAACTTGTAAATGTGACAGATCTTCCAGTTTCACCCGTAGACATTGCCATTATCTTGCATCGAGATTCTTCACGCTGAGGAAGGGAGAAAACAATATCAAGTGATTGCAAAGTCTCGCTACTGAAAACATTTGCCCTAATTGTTTCATACTCTCCATTAAATCCCCTCAAAATATAATTTTTTTTCCTTTGTTCCAGTCTCGCTCTCAATTTCTTTGCACAAGAAGAACACTATATGCGCTGATGTTGGCTTAATTTATCCCAAAGACCATGTAGATGAGCATAATAGTCTCCCCGTGACAAGTCATCATGTCTAAAATCACTGATTTGCTACTCCAATTCATAAACCCTTGCAATATTTCTTTTGGGAATAGGACTTAGGGATTGCCTCCCATAATTCCTCATAAGTATTCCAGTTCATAAAGGATTGACTCATATTAGGTTGAATAGAAAGCAGTATCCAATTCATAATGGCCATATCTTCAGCCTCTCAGTCTGCATATTTAGCATCCGTTAGGTTAGGCTTTTCCACAAGGTCATCGATGTATCCCAATTTTTTTTCTGCCAAAAAATGGTCTAACTGATCTGGCCCATTCTAAATAGTGGGTTCCATCATATCTATTGTGGTGATTTGGGGTCCAGATGATTCCATATTTGATGCCTGTAGGGACATTTTCTATTATAGTTATGATCCGTTTACACGCTCAAATCTTAATCAACAATTGAGATCAAGTTACGCCCTTGATCTCTTTAAATAAAAAGGTTTACACGTCTAGTTACCCCCTCATATCTGATCACACTTCTTTTTTTTAAGAAAAACGTCAAAACATTAACAATACTTCTTTGCTTGGGGCAAACAAACCCTAATCCATCCAACAACTAGGCTTTCGAATAAATACTTGATCGGCATTCAGAATCATTTTAAAAAAATGAAAATAAAAATGATACTCACCTCCATTGGCATAGATACTGCTAAAAAAAAATTAGGGTTTTAGGGTATGATGATGTCATCTAACCTAAAAGATGATGTTAATCCTAAACACAATTCGTGTGCACCTTTTTGAAGATCGACATGCTGCTACACTATCGTGCTACTATATCATCCTTACTAATCGTCTGGCTTTGATACCGAATTGAAATTAAAGTAGTGAAGAAAACAGTTTGGTAGGATCTAGAGAGAGAAAGAGAGGAAAGAAAATAAAGATGAAGAAGAAGAAGAAGAAGGGAGAGAGATGTGTGAGAGATAGAGAGGGAAAGTGAGTGGCTTAGAGGTTACTTATGACCTTTATCCCTTAATGTTATAACTCATGTAAGAGATAGAGAGGGAAAATGAGTGGCTTAGAGGTTGCTTATGACCTTTATCCCTTAGGGCGCATTTGATAACAGGAAGTTACTTACTAGAAGATGGAACTTACCTGTTACTATTCATGTTCCGTGTTTGATAAAAAAAAGGGTAAGATATACAAAGAATTTCAGTTTGCTGTTGCTCTTCCCACTTTACTCATAAAAAAAGTTTCGTTTAAAACACGGAACTTAAAAAAAGGAACATTCTCCCGATGGAGGGAAGTCATGGCCCCGACCTCTCTCTCTTCTTCAACACCCTCACGCACTGCAGTCCACGCCTCCTCCTCCTCCACGCCTACGCCTCCGCCTCCGCCTCCACCTCCGCCTCTGCCTCCTCCACAACTGCTTCTCGTCATCAGGTACCCCTCTCTCTCTCTCTCTCTCATTGAAAACAACATCTGGTTTCTGGTTGTGGAATCTTCAAACCTCCAGAGATCATACCCATTGAATTTTTGGGGGATTTTATGGATATCCAATATCAGGGAATGATTTTATACCAACTTCAGCAAATTTCAGAGTTTGATGTCTCTGGGTTCTATTTTAGATGCCAGTTGTACAAAGATTTTATGTTTTGGGGTCTTTTTCTTTTGATGCCCATTTCCAGGAAATTCCTTAATTTAGTGTTTTGGGATTTCTTTCAGACTCCCAATATGAGGAAATGCCAGTGTTTTGTCTTTTAGGGTTCTTCTTAGAACCCAATTTCAAGAATTTGCAGTGGGCATTTGTTGTGGTATTTAAGGGCTTCTAATATCCAAGATTACAAGAATAATAGCTTTTTCATATAATTTTTAGTAGAGTTACTAACAAAAATAAAAATACAAGGTTAGATTCTTTGAGTTCGTGCTGGTTAGCAACTTAGTATATGGGACACACCATTGGAAAGAGGAATCACTAGGGGCATCTGCTTTCTACTTCTCTCTCTAACATTCCTTTACCTGTCTAATGTGTTGTGTTAATTAATGCTATTCTTCCCATTATGCTCTGAGCACTTACGTTTCCTGTTTGTGGGGCATTAGCAATGAGTCAATCTAATGGTGGGTGTAAAGCTGGGAAGGCTCATTTGTTCCTTGTGTCATACAAGAAATTACCAGTTGTTTTTCCAGTCCTTTCTAATTCATAAGTTTGGGCAGGCTTGCATGTTAAGAATATTTCGATACTTGGAAAATGGCTGGGCTTTATCTGGTCAAACTGTCTATACTTCATTAATGTTGATACAATTGTAACTGATTATACCTATGTTGGTTATAAGAAAAGTGATATGATTGTAATTGACGTTTATAGTTGAATAGGTTGTTGAAGTGGATAGTCAATTAGATGCTTTGAATGCATAAATGAAAAAATCAGATTGTTTTTGGGGAAATTATGAAAGTATATGTATATACTTGAGTAATGAATAAAGTGTAATTCATTTTTAAGATAATGGTGGGCTTGATTGTAATTGATGTTAATGGCTGAATAGGTTGCTGAAGTGAATAGTTAATTAGATGCTTTGAATGCATAAATTAAAAAATCATTTTTTTTTTGGAGAAATTATGAAAGTATATGTGTATACTTGAGTAATGAATAATGTGCGTAATTCGTTTTTTAGATAATGGTGGGCTTGATTGTAATTGATGTTAGTGGCTGAATAGGCCACTGAAGTGAATAGTCAATTAGATGCTTTGAATCCATAAATGAAGAAATCAAATTGTTTTTGGAGAAATTATGAAAATATTTATGTATACTTGAGTAATGAATAATGTTTAATTTGTTTTTTAGAACTTCCTAATCTTCCAGCACGTTACCAAACACAAGTACTTAGAACTTCTTTAACATTCCAGTAGGTTATCAAACGCAGAAACCCAAAACTTCTTTCTTCCTAGCAAACAGGAACTTCCGATTTCTAGTTCATAACCAGTTATCAAACAGGCCCTTAACCTTAATGACAACTTATGGACAATACTGCCCTTATTTAGATACATAAGACAAGCAAGGACTAAATAAAAATAAATGACAGTTCTGTCTATCAAATACAATAAAGCTTAGTCCTTTTATTTCTAACATGAGGCGTACCCAAGGGATTGGAGGAGCACTTCAATTGCCACAAATCTAGTAGACTTGCTAGATTTGTGGTGGGACCGTTATAGAATTGCTACGTCTGTGATGGTTCAAATGGCTCTTGCACACTCAAGAGGCGTACCCACGAGTTCGTGGAACCCTTGAACTGCCACGACTTTATTAGAGCTGTGGCAATACCGTCATGGTTTTGCTATGTCCATGACGGTTTAAAAGTCCAACAATGCAAAGGGCCAACGGGCTGGGTGGGGTTTGAATGAGCCCCATGAATGTATTATGTCCGTGGCGGGGGTAATATTATTATTTTTAAAAAAGCTAACAAAATATGGGTATAGGTGTATTAATCCGAGATTTTAGTATAACTGAAATATAGAGAACTTTATGGAATATTTTTTATTATCTTCCTTTAGATGTTCAATCTTTAAAAAATTTCTATCCAAAATCTCTTTAAAATAACTTAAGGAGAATGAACTCATTTAAATGATGAAGTGGGTGACTCATATAAACCTTGTCCAATAGATAATCAAGCCCATGATTCCGACGCCAAAACTACATCTCTGGGCGAAATTTTAGAGATGCCGACCCATTATAAACGTCATCTAAGTTTTGTAATTTTAATTTTGATCTTCAAGAATGCTGCAAGCCAGAGTCTGTGTAGAGCAAGTATGAGAGAGCTTATTTTTTTTGGTGCACTGAAATTAGGGCAATGATGGCTAACAATCTCAGTTTTAGTACAACTGCATCTCAGAAACAGGGGGATGCCTCCATGACTTCTCATCTGGCTGGCATGTCAAAGAGCCAGCTCTATGATATCATGTCTCAGATGAAGGTAATGTCTTTTGCCCTCTTTTCTCCTTTCTAATGAATCACTGCAAAACCTAACCCTAGTGTTTTTGGTGTGCTGATTGTGAAATTTTGCTTTCAAGGCTCTAATTGAGCAGAACCAGCAGCAGGCTCGACAAATCTTAGTTGCGAATCCTCCATTGACGAAGGCTTTGTTTCAAGTATGTTGATTATCTTCTTTCATCTCGAGATATTCTTGGTATCGAGTTACTCTTAGTGATTCATGTATGTTATATATTACAGTAGTTAAACATACTGGCATGTCCTATTGGTTGCAACGATAGTTACGAAACTAAGTTATGGTGCTGGATAGAGATATCAAAGGTAGTATCTCACACTAGCATTAATGCCAGCGCTGCAGATATTAACCAAACTGTAAATGAATGTGATTGATCTAGTTCCAAAGTCCTACTTTGTAGTTGGCCCATAACCGCGCATTGCCTTGTGTGGGATGTATTTGGAACAGGAAAGCCAAAACTTAATGAGTTGGGCTTATTAACCAAAATTTTCTTTAGATTGGTTAAGAATAAGAAAATGATTTCATATTTTTACCTATAAGGCTTTATATTTCCTTTCTTAGTTAATATTGAACAATTTCAATTACGTGATGGATTAAAGGACAGGACTGATGAGTTGAATGCATGTCGAGTATGATAACATACAATTACTATGTTCTTAGAGAAGAAAAAGAAGGAAAATTCCAATTCTTATGGCTTACTGGCTTAATGTTCGTTGTATTAGAGAGATCAGAGACTAGCACTTGATGTGGCATAGAAAGAAACTCCACTTTAAATCCTGTGAGTTCTCAAATGCATGCTCAATTAGGATGAATCATGTTCAGAATTTTCTTCCTCACAGAGAAAGGGTGTATGGTTTGCATGAAACCCTAACTCTGCTAGACAGACCACACCTTGTATGCGAACAGTCTTCTTCTTCTTGCATCTACTTCCACTGACCTAGATTCTCCAGTGACTTTCTGAATTTGGTTCTAATACAATGTTGGAGGGTGCAAAGGTAGAAGTTGATGGCTTTTGGAGGGGGGATGTAATGTGAACCGTCTACATCTTGGGGAGATTCTTACATTCGGGTAAATGTTATTGCAAAGAGTCATATAAGTACAAATATAAAAGGAATGGTGACTAAATGCCCTTCGGTTGTATGACACATTGTATTATAAATATGCAAAGGATGGCAACTTAATTAACATTTATCGTTGTCCATGTATGTCACATACGCATGACACAAGAATCTGAAGAGAAAAGTTCTAAGGGGCAGGTGATCAGAGTTCCACTGCCCTAGATTCTCTAGTGACTTTCTGAATTTGGCTCTAAAGTAGAAGTAAATGGTTTTTGGAGGGGGGAATGTACAATGAACTATAGTTGTTGGAAACGTTAGTGATTCCGAATCGTTTATGGAATCGGTATCGCAGAATCGCGTGTATCAGAATCTAGGAATCGTTGTCCGTACGATTCAAATTTGAGAAAAACGATTCTCACTATTTTCGAATCGCGATTCAAAAAATTAGGATTCGTGTTTCCTATTTGCAAGAATCGATGCCCCTTCATGTTGGAATCACGTTTCATACCTATATGGAATCACACATGACCCCACTTGTTTCGATGGTTGCTGGAATCATGATTCGATTAGATTGGAATCGTGATTCCTAAAATATGGAATCGTAATTCCTAAAATTCTAAAGTCGTTATCCCCATCAACTTGGAATCAACATTCTCACCATTCCGGAATCGTGATTCTCCCCATATTGGAATCATTCTCCCCTTACTAGAATTGCGAACCAATTCCCTCTAGTATATGAGAGAAGTATTCATATTGAATATGGTTCTGTATATACTCAGTCCAAGACTCCAAGTACTAATGTCAACCTTTATGTTATCTTTGTGGACAATCCCATACAATGGACTCGGTCTATTGATAACCCTATTATGCCTACAAGGTCTGGAGCTAGTCTATGACATATAAGGAGTGAGAACAAGGGCGAGCTCCCTTTATCTCCTTTCCTAGAATTATAAAATAAGTACATGACATAGTAATTCTTCTTTGTTAAATGTAGTTTTGAGTCTTTTGACTTTTGACAATTGAGTTATTCAATTTTTAGTCAATTTTTTTGATATTTAATGATTAATTTAACCTAAAACACCACACAGGGCACTTCGCTCATATCCTTATTATCTTCTTATTCTATTTAAAGAAAAGCATTTTTATCCTCTTATTCAACTTGAAGAAATGACAGTGCCGATCATATATTAAACATTATTACATTAGTAGTTTAGTGCCCACACCATTTACCAAACATTATTAAATTTGAAGTAACATATTTTTTTAGTATTATTTATTCTTGGTAAGAGTTCTTAAAAAGTAACATGGAATGAAGGATGGAAATTAGTAAATAAGAAAATAAAAAATTTAACATATTACCCATATTTTAAAATTTGATTTTATTGCCATGTGCAACAACTTCAAATTCTCTCACGCTCTCATACATGTCGCGCTCACTCATGATTGAGCACACATCGGAGGGTTTCTGCTCTCCCTATGCTAGTTGAAGTTCCTATTCTCACATTTCTTTCATGTTATATTATTTAGTTGAACACTTGAAGTTCCTATTCCCACTTTACTTTCATGTTATATTATTTAGTTGAAGACTTGAAGTTCCTATTCTCGCATTACTTTCATGTTATATTATTTAGTTCAAGAATTGAAGTTCCTATTCTGACATTACTTTTATGTTATATTATTTAGTTCAAGACTTGAAGTAAAAATTGAACGCATTTAACATGGGAAACAAGATGCAACTAGAAATACTAAAACTATTGAAGTTTAGTTTGAACACATTTAATGAGGGAGACGAAATGTAAGCCATTACAAATAAAAAAACTTATTAGTGTTAAGTAAAATTTGAGAAAATTTAATTTTGAGGAAAAATATTATTATTTTTATTTGCTCGACTGTGTTCGCATGTTCCTATTGAATAATCATGTGCATGGGGTAAGAGTGTATTTATGTTAAAGGATTGTTGTGTAGCAAGGAATCGCATTGTTGTGTAGCAAGGAATCACAATGTCTGTGATATAGAAACTTGATTCCAAACAACATGGATTCACTATTCCAAAAAATTTCGAATCAACGTTTCTCATAAGTAGAATCACCTTCTTGTGTAGCTAAGAATCATAAAGTCCTCGATATGGAATCTTGATTCCCGTAATCCAGGAATCGAGATTGCTAAACTAGGTGGAATCGCGTTCCTAAAAAACTGGAAACGTGATTCCTTTCTTTTAGAATCGACTTTTGCCCGGGAAAATGCTGAATCGAGATTCCGAAACGGAATCGCTACCCTCATAGGCAATTCGGGTAACTATACAATGAACCCTCTACATCTTGGGGTGATTCTTACATTCGGGTAAATGTTATTGCAAAAAGCCATATAAGTAGAAATATAAAAAGAATGGCGACTAAATGCCCTTCGGTTGTATAGCACATCGTATTATAAATACGCAAAGGATGGTAACTTAGTTAACATTTATTGTTGTCCACGTATGTCGCATACGCATGACATAAGAATCTGAAGAGAAAAGTTCTAAGAGGCAGGTGATCAGAATGCATCTTAAACCAAATCATTCCTTGGTCCTTACTAGTTGATATCCTTGATGTTGATCTTGTGCTAGTTCTCTGATAGAAAAATTTGAGCAGTTCATATCCATTTAACTAAGTACACAATTGTCAGCAAGATTTAGTACCTGTTTCCAGAATAGCGCTTTATTAGTAAAGCATTAATGTAGGAAAGCCAAAATTTGAGGCTAATGTCTGGAAAATCTCCCTATGGACTATACATCTTGGAAGCTTTTGATCACTTGTTATGGCTGGAAGTCATACATTATACTCTAACAAGTTTCTTCTTGTTTATTTGAAAAAGGAAAGGTCTTCTCTTTACCTAGAAATGGCCTTATGATAAAAAAGGTGTTTAGCCAGAAAAAGAATAGTATTGGAAGATAATCAGTTCCAGAATCATTAAGATGGGCTAGTTCTTAGAAAACCAGTCTAGGTCTAATTAGTTAGACTAGTTGTGCATGGGATCTAACAAGCTATATGCACTTTCTTGGTTTTTTGGGAAGCGAACAAACTACTTTAGGTTTGATTATTGTCCAAACCAGTCAAACCTTCTACTCCTTTACTTCTTTATGACAGTGGTTTTATAGTCAAATTAGGAAGCATTGCCCCATCTAATGTTGATGTTATGACCTACTCTCTGTAGCTTTGAAGTTTGAAACAGTTTATGCTTGGTTTTGGGAACCACTTTCTCCAAAATGGTCATTGTATTCTAACATGCAACAACTCTTCCCTTCCTATAATTCTTAGCAAGTCTATGACTAGCCCTTGCTTTTAATATGTGTGCACTTTTCCCTCAAGTTAGTGGCAAAGAAACTCCATAGTAATCAGGTGTTTTTGAACCTAAATTTCAATGCTTTTCATATCGACTGAAAGCTGTATTCTCTTCTATTTATAGTTCCCTTTAATTTCTCAAGGAAAATTAAGCCCCATGTTCACTGTTAAAACTTTCCTACCTAAAGGACATAAGCCCTCCCAGATTCCCACTGAGATCTTCAAACATTCTCCTTTCAAAACCCTTACAAATACGACAAACAAAAAAACTGTGACTTAGTCCATGTTACTCTACCCACATTGTCCCTATTCCACCTTTTTCACCACAACTTTCTCTGCCTGTGCTTGACATATATTCTTATTCTGTATAAGTCAATTGATTTCCGATTTGAGCTTTCCGTTTGTAGTTGTTGATTAACAGTTATTGGGGGGTTCTCAATCTCCTTTATTACATGTCCTCATTCCTTGCATTGATCCAAAGAAGTCTTGGTTTTCCTTGATCTGATGTATCATAGAGATACAAATCTGAGATTTGAAGAGACAGTGAGACAACTTAAAATGTGGAATTCTAATTGAAAATTTTAGAGTTTAGTGTGAGTACCAACAATACGAGACAACTAGTTTTGTGTTGGATGGTAATTATTATACTAGTCAGTCTTGTATGATAATTATTTTACTATATTACACATTTGTTACGTGCCTCCATGGATGGACAAGTCTTGAAAGCGTAGGATGTGGCATCTGCTACTGCGAAAGGTTTACAATCAGAGTACACTGGCAGCATAGATAATATTAATGAACCTGCACTGACATTTTTTAGCTTTCCATGTTTGTGGTAGACACCGGTTGCCTATAGTTGAGGTCGTTCATTGACATGGTTAAAAAATAGATGGCAATATTTATGACAACATCTAAGTCAATCACAGTTATGCATGACTCTCAACTGACAACCGTGATGTGTTGCAATGATCCTCCTGATTTCCTGTGGTATGGCACCTTCTGTCTATCCTAAGGGCACCTGTACTAATATCTCTTGTTGTTACATAGTCGTAGTTCTTTTATAAAAAAATGATTTGTTATTCTTTGGCTACATAACCATCCATATGGTGCTACTTGATGTATAATCCAATGTTTGAGGCTGCTAGGTCTGGATTTGTCGAGGATGCAGATCCAAGGGTCAGATCCTAGTGAGACTACCATGAGATCAACATTTCAGCCAATCTAAAACATCACACTTGAGGGAAATTTGACATGTGTGATAAATGATCTGAACCAGGCTTAAGCATAGGGGATTTCACTTGGTTAATTGATGTGATATTTTGAAGACAGATTGGAGGTTGATTCTGTTTCAAGTGTGAAACATACAGAGAAAATCCTAATTATGATGGGTATATATTTTTAGTTCGCTAGTGTCTCACATTTTCTCAAAGGGGTAGATCTGGTTCTTCCCTTCCTGCTCATCAACATCCTCAAGTTCATTTATCCAAGATGATACCTAAAATCATGATATTTTTCAAGTTGGGGCATGTAGAGTCAAGGGAGGCTTCTTGGCCAATGCACATTTGTGGAGGGCTGGTTGCTGTAGGTGCTCAACCCCATTCCATCTATTAGTTTAGCAGTGATTTTATTCTCCATTGCAAAGATCCAAGGTAATCTTTGTCTCTTTTCATATTAAAATTCTATTATTGACTTGACTGTTCAGGAATTTCAGACTTCTTAATTTTCTTTATTGTTGATTGCCGATCATTCCAATTAGCTTGGAAGTTGTACTGTAGTAATTGAGGGTTATGCTCTTTAATTGATTAACTTCACACACCTGTGCGGCATTTGAATTTGACATACTGCTATTATTGAAGAATAGCCAAAGATCTATGTCAAAAACATGGGAGAAGAAGGTAGTGCAGATAATCAATGAAGAATCTGCTGCCTTTATCCCAAGTTTCTGTTGCCCATTAAAATTACCTCCAACTTAATCCTGGGGGACAAGTAGAAGTGCTAGAGATACAGAAATGGGTCGTTCCATGTAAAAGTCTTTTCCACCTTGTTCATAGAGGCCAATCAAGAACCTGATTTCTGATCCAACTCTAGTGTGCTAGCGATGGACCAGGTGTATGGAACTGGAACCAACTCCCCTCCTTAGTTAATCATTCTGCACTGCACTAAATTGTGCTTTGTTTTGACTTTTGAACCAATAAAAAAAATATTTATCAAACAAAGAAAGAAAAATGAAATCTAGATTCTAATAATTTCCTACCAGCTTTTGGAAGTACACAAATTTCCTTTACATAAAGGCATGCTTACACAGATGATCCTGATATCGAATCATTTGAATGGATGGTGGGGATTATGGATGCTTGCACCTTGCAGACTCTTCATTCTTACTTTATCTGCTTTCTGATATTTATCCTTGTCTCAGTGCCTTTTTTTCCTACAATATGATTTTATATTTTTGTAAGACTTTGGAACCATTAGGACTTGAAGTAGGGCTTTAGTGGCTAGCAGTTGACATTAGCAATTATACATCTCAAATACGACCCTTACCACTGAACTACAAAAGAAGAGGAAGAATAGGGGGGAAAAAGAAGAAGCCTAGGAACCATTAAAAGTAATAGAATAAGAAGGAATGAATGCATATGCTGCTTAATTTCAATCTCCTTCACGACTCACACTTTAAAGTTATTATTGCTTTTTTGATGCATGAGGTTTGAATTTGTTCTTCATACCCTTGGTAGGCCCAGATTATGCTCGGTATGGTGCAGCCCCCACAAGTGGTAAGCTATCCACTTCACATTCATTTTCACTTTTCCTATTTACTAAATTGTTCCTAATTTCCCAAATTGAAACTGTTTTTCTTTTCTTTAGATGCCAAACATCCAGCAGTCAGTACCGCAGCAGCCCCAACAATCAGCAATGGCAGGGCCACAGCCCAGCCTTCAAGCTCCACCAAACCAAGGTCCTTTGGGTTCCCAAAATGTGACAAGACAAACCCAATCATTACAAGCACCCATAACAACCCCTGCTTCTCAACCACCAGTTACCCAATCCGCGCCATTACATTCCTTGCAAGCTCAGGGAGCACAACATAGTCAAAGTCAATTGAGCGCACAAATGCCCATGACATTTCCACAACCTACCCATGTCCATAATATCCCTCTTCATTCAGCTCCACAACCCTCCATTTCTGGACCTCAGGCTTCTGGTTCATCGAGCCACGCTGCACAACAATCTTTACAATCCTCATCTGGAGTCCTTCCTTTACAACCACTATTGCCTCAGTTTCCAAGGCCACCAATGCAATCTTTTTCTCATCAAGTTCACCCTCAGCATGGCTTCCAACCTTCCAGTGTGCCTCAGCAGCTTCACTCACAGCCTATGTATCATGTAAGCTTGCAAGTTTATATGTTTAACTCAATACTTTTTTGTTTGTTTCTGGGGGAACTATTCTATGGTTCACTGAATTGTGGAAAAAACATCTATTTGATCATCATTGTACATTAAGTGATGGAAGCCAGTGGATCCCACTTTTCCTTCGTCACTAACCATGGCTTCAATGTTTGGCACTGACCCAATGGAGTAGGAATTTTTTACATGACATTCATATAAAAATATTTACGTGGTTGCTGATATCATGAAGTTAGGAATCATCATTAGGAGATGGATTCTATTTGTTCACATTTTCGCTGTGCCCAACTACTTTGCAAGTATTGTTTTCTTGGATTTTGATATGACTTTCTGTCTTTTATGCTTTTGGCCTGACTTTTGTCGGTGTGGTTTTCTATGTCTCGTTCACTTGTATTGATGCATATTGCATCTAGGAGGAGTCAGGACTAAATTGTCATTTTTTTTATTTGTTACACTGGTCAATTCCTGGAATTGTTTTGCTTGTTAGGGAATCTTTTGTAATTTGTCATTCCTGGTTATTTTCGGTTTAACCAAGACATCTAGGATAGAGAGTGGGTAAGGTGAAGTCAAAGTGAGTTATTGGTGTTTAGTTCCAATGTGTTCCATGCAATAAAGGAACTTATGCTTGTTGTGGAGTTCCCATGGCTTGTGAATTGTGAGTCCTTGAGTCGAAGGTGGAAGGTTCCAACACTTGGAAATTTGAATGCATGTAGTTGCATGCAAGTTGATTTAATTGTTAGGGGAGTAGGGTATAGGGGCAGGTTAGTCATCTTCTTATTTTTTTAGGGGTATTTTGGTCATTGTCTAGGGCCAGTGGGTTCATATATATTGTATACTGCTGTAACAGAGGCAGTAGCTGTTGATGAATGAAAT